CCCCGCGGCGACGAAGTGCGGCTCCACCCCCCCCAACCCGAGACCCTGGGACCTCCCGCCTTGTTCCCGGGCTCTGTTCCAGTCCCGCCCGCCCCGGCTCCGTCCCCGCCCCGAGGATCCGCTGGGGGCCGCTCGCACCGCCCCCGCCCGGGGCCCGATCCCAGCTGGGTCTTCGGCTCTGGCCTCTCCGATCCGCCGCTGCCACCGTGAGCGAGCACGTACGCACGCACGTTCTGCGTCGCTTCCCAGTTACCCCTGGGCTCCGCCCCCAGGTCGCGCACGCCACCGCGTCCCCGCCTAGCTCGCGGGCGTCCGCCTGCTGGACACAGTGAGGGAGTCACTGGCAGGCCAGCTCTTGTCCTCCTCATGTACTTCCTATCCCTCTTCAATCTTTTGCCCCTTTCATGAGACTTCGCTGACTTAGTTAGGCTTGGAGATTTAAAAGAAAGGATTGTTATTTAGGGAGTGTCGCACCTCCTCAAACCTTTTGAGGTTTGGCGGTGAGGTCTGATTCTCCAACATAGCCTGCAAATATCCAGTTCTTAAAGCAGCTCGGCTACCTAACCACAGCAAAGAGAGACTCCCATCTTTTGTCCTAAACAAAAACTATGCACATGTGCAGTCGGGAGCATGGCTGTGGAGGAACGGTTTGAGAAGTGGAGAATCGGGTGCCGAAAAGGAGGAAAATCACTTGAGAACTGTATTAAGTTATGTACTTACACATAATACGAGAAGTGTAAGTTTACTGAATTTTTTTTTAAAAAGGGGGGGGAGAAGGAGAGCTTGAGACAAACTGGGCGGTTACAGACGCTGCAGAAGGAATTGAGAAATAGAAAGAGAAATGAAAAAGAACCTGAGAATAACTACATCGAAGTCAGAATATCAGAGGGGAGCTGGAATGGAGGACTGTCAGATCGAGATTAGATCAGTTAGCCAGAAATGGTTTAGGAAAAGTTCCCTAAAATAGAAGAGGAAGGATAATGAGGGGCTGAGAGGACAGAATGGCAAATTCACTTCCTCCTCCAAGGACACTTCCAGATCGTTCATTCAACAAGCATTTACTGAGTGTCCACTAGGTGTCCAGCACTGTGCCAGATTCTTCAGAGCTTCACAGTCTAATGGGAAAGAAAAACTAGTAAACAGATAATGGCAGCCTTGTGACAAGAGTGATGCCTAAACAGTGGTGCCTTGGACACTGTTGGAAAGCTCTAGACTAGACCTACTACCTGGGGAAAGGAAATTTGGAAATATGTCTCTAGGTTTCCTAGAGGATATGAGATCTGAACCAACTGTTGTATTCTCAACATCCACTCAGTGAAGGATCCACTCAGTGGGCAGAGTCACATTTGGTAAAGGTTGGTAGAAAAAACTCAGAAAGTGAAATACCAGGGTGACCAGAAGGGAGAACAGAAGAAAAGAACATGCCTAGAGGGTGCTGAGAGAAAGAAAGTGGAATACAGGAAGTTCATGAGCGAGAGTGGGAAAAAGGAATATCACAAGCCATTCCCCACCGAACCATTGGTCCCCAATCTCTCGCCCTCCTTAGTCTCACCAGCTTCGTCTCACGTCTGGTTTTCCCGCCACATGCAGGCGGCTCCTCCTCCCTGGCACTCAGTGAATAGAAGCGCGTCAACTCTAGGCCACGCCCTCTCCAAGGCTCCTGCCGTTTTCCTTCCTCTTCCTACACTTGGAGAACCGCCCCTATTCGCTAAGCCACGCCCATCTCGGAACCCTCTGGGACACCGACTTCGCTGGCTCCGCCCCCTCCGGGGATGGCTCTCGGACGGCCCCGCCCACACCTGCCCTGCCCAGCTTTCGCGCGGACCTCGCCAGGGGGCGCAGCGCAACCTGCCCGCAGCTGGCGGGAGAGTCTGTGCCACACACCCCTTCTGCCCCGCGTGCCGAGCCTGCCGGGCTGCGCCCGCTCCGACCCCGAGAGGGGCCGCGGGTCCCGGATGGCCGCCGCAGGGTGTAGGTGGCCAAGAGTGTAAGCCGCGGGCCATCATGGAGGCGGAGCCGCGGCCGACGACGGGGTCTGGAGAATGGGCGACCCCTGGGCTGGAGGCGGTGCCTCCTGCTGCCCCGGCGCCTGCGACTTCCACCTCGGGTCAGATCCCCGGGTTCACATTCGGACCCGAGCCCAAGAGGAGGCAACTCGGGACGCTGCTTCAGCCCACGGTCAACAAGTTCTCCCTTCGCGTGTTCGGCAGCCACAAAGCAGTGGAAATCGAGCAGGAACGGGTCAAGTCTGCGGGGGCCTGGATCATCCACCCCTACAGCGACTTCCGGTACTGGGGGCTCCGCAGGAGGGTGGGGGACACAGATCCTATTCCCACAGCCAGGACACGGGCACTGGGCGCGCCCCACCCTCCGTGGTCACTTCATTTCCCGCCCAGGGGTCCCCGGGTGGGTCGAGAGAGTCACTTCCACCAACCTAGCCTGGGAATTCTCAAGGACTTCTCAGGCTGGGGGCGCCGGAAGAGACAAGCAGATGCAAGAAATCTGGATTTTCCGTTTCAGGACCCCAACACCCCACCTGGACCACAGGGACTACTGGAGTTAGGGATTCTTGCCTCCTCCACTACTGCTTACTGGTGATCTGGGAAATTATGTCATATTCCAAGACTCAGGGTCAGCCTGAGAGAGAAACCGAGCTCCGCTATCTTACCCCGGTCCCACGCTCCCACCCCCAGCACCTGCCTAGTTCAGCCGGGCAGGCTACCCGGGAAAATAGGGACGCTGGGGGAGGGGTGGCGGGGGTGTTCCGACCGCAGTCCTGGTAGCTGTCCCTGGTGCTGAAGGCGGGATGCGGCGGAGCAGGGCTGGGAAACACAGCGAACTGAGGCAGCAACACAGGGGCACGGCCACCACCAGAGAGAAAGGACCGAGGGTGGAGGCGGAGCCATTTCAAGTCCCCATCTGGCAGTACCTTTTCATCAAGGGCGCTAGGGGAGGAGGGCAGCCCTGTCCTTGGGGGAAATGAAGGACAGCTATTGGATGAGGTGAGGATGTGTGCAAAGCATCTAACCTGGGGAGTGAAACGAGCCGAAAGCATGAGGTGTGCATCAGGAGTCTGGAAACACAATTGGAGACCTAGACATCATCTTGAACGCACATTCATACACATTCCCTAACTGTTCCTTTCTCCTATTGTGTCTTCCACTCCCATCTTTACTGCCTCATTCCCAACCCACCATGCACCTTTTCTAGTCTTCTACAGACCTCCCTCCCTTCCCCCATTTCACCCTCAGATGTATCCCCAGAAGCCGTGTCTCCCTCTTATTATTGTGTTTCTTCTCTGTCCCCTCTACTGCATCACCCGCCAGGCTTGTGACTGCCTGTGAGTCAGGCAGTGAGGTTGCTCTATGTCTAGGCGAACTCTCCTTCTCTCTCCTCTCCCACTTCACGGTATAGGTATAGGATTTCTCCAGTGGCCCAGGAGGGAGAGGAAGAGGGGCTCGAGGGTTTGTTGTTGATCTAAAGCACACAGTCTAAGGGGCTGCCTGGAGACCTGGACTTGGGGACCACCAAGCTTCTTTCAGGGGCTGAAATAATTGATTTTGCAGTCAGAGCCTGAAGGGCCTGGGTCCTGGGTTGATGCTGTAATTAGAGGTGTCCTGGAATTAAAACCATCATTGCTAATTAGGACCCTCAGATTGTCCAGTGATTTTTTTTCTGAATGAGGGCTTCACCTCACTTCCTCCTGACCTCTTCTTCTCGCAGCTTCACCACAGCAGTGTGACTCTCCCCTGCCCATGCCCTTGCCTGGGCTCAGCCAGAATCTCAGTTGGCACAGGGAGATTAGGGGAGGAAAGGAGTGCAGAGCTTCAAGCCTGTTTCCTCAGGGATCTCCTATGGAGCTTCTCTGTTTGTGCAGCCACACACACCCCCATCTCTCTCTCTTCCTTCCCCTCTCTCTGAAGATCAATATGTCCTTAATGAGGAGTAAAAGAAAGTAAAACAATTTTTTAAAAAATGAATCAACCAATGAATGCAATGAGTGCATAAATAAGTGGAACAGCAAATCGACATTACTCTCTCCCTCATCTCTCAGATCAATAGATAAAACTAAAAAAGAA